ACCCATAATCACAAGAAATGTTGGGAAATGCTCCTGTTTGTAAACAGTTCAACTTAAAAAGTAGAAAAGCAGATTTTACAAGTCAATAATCAGTGCCTCAGTTAAAAGGCCAGTTAAATTGGCCGAGTAGATATTCCAGTTCCATTGAACCAGGAGTGCAGTCTGCCTCTGGAGGTGTTGTCAGATATCAATGATGGCAAATATCTCTGGCTTTTCTTTATCGTGGATCTGCATTGCGGAGTATGTGATGGCTTTCACCTCAGTCCCCTGGATTTACAAGACAGGACATAACACTTTGAATAGATGCAGTTATGTGTCTTTTATTTTACATAGTTCTTCTATGAGTGTCAATGACATAAAACATAAGGTAAAACCCTCCATAGTTTTATTACATAAAGGATTATAATCTGAATAAAGGGATATTCTACAGTGACATCTTTAAACAAGCTTTAGTGTCTTACCTGTGGATGCTTTTCCAGAGAGAATTCCTCACCCCAACTTTAATAAAGAAAAGAAAAATGACCACATCAGAGAGCAGATTAAAGGAGATATATAAAACAAAAAAAAAATAGAAATTATAAATTATTAAAAATTAGACAGTCGAAGAAGATAACAAAAATAAGATAAAGGGGGAGGAGAGGGCAGCCAAGGTGTTATGGAAAAACTGTAGTTGCTTTTGCAGAGGAGCACATGGAAGTTTTTAAAATCTGTAGTAAAAGTTTTTTTGGGAGAGACAGGTCAGATGCAGTACTCTGATGTTTATTATCTATGCATGTTAAGTGTCCCTCCCAATCCTTAAAACCCTTTAACTTTACTAAAGGAGCAGATTTCTGGTAGGAATGCAGGTGTCTTCACAGACACTGATGTGACTGTATCAGTGTAGTCATCCAGGTTGTCTTCATTAAGATCTATGGAGTCCATGCAGCCTCTCGGACTCCTTATAGGCCCATATTATATATGTTCTTGTTTCCTTTTTAGATGCTTTGAGCTTTTGTTACATGAGGGAACGAGAAGGATGAGGAAGTGATCAGTGGAGCGCAGGTGGACAACTTAAATGCTTATATACTGGTCTGCTAGCAGTTGTTGTCCAGAACTGGTAGTTCTCCTGAAGAAGGATATACACCCCAACCGGTATTAAAGAGGCAATTTCATGAGGGGAGAAAAATGGTTTGGAGTAAATACAAAGACTTTCTGGGTCAGGGGAGCATTTAGACACAACAGTCAAATCAGTGCACAAACTTAGTTTAATGTAGATTATTTCTCCACCTTTGCTTTAATGACTCAGAGGAGTTGTGGACTACTCTGTGCAGAGAAGCCTGGTAGATTGACTGCAGCGTTGGGAGTAATGTACATTTATTTTAAAAAATTTACCGGTGAGTACCTGTCTCTGAGTTGTGAGCATGTTGCCTCCTATTTACTTTGTTGTGGGTATTTGATCCATCATTATGAGCGGGGTCTGTTCATACAAATTTCTTTGGAGTGTGTAACAGATTCAGCAGAAAATTTTGTGAGAGGGAGCTTCTATTAAATATAAGTTTGTTTTCAAAAGTAATCATGGCGGAGTTAATGGGGATGAGTTTAGTAAAGAAAAAAATAACAGGACACCACAACACTGTAGCTGCCTCTTGCGGTGTCGTTATTAAATCTTGCGAAGAGGTGCTAAAAAACGGAGGCATTGTAATGTCAATGTGAAGAGTTAACCAAACTTACCCAATGGAGCGGATTTTGAAGTTCATTCTGTCTATGTGTAATACTTTGACCTCCTAGTAGATAGATGTAAGATATAATGGTTTAAGAGGAATAACATACAATTGACAAAAAACAAGATCTTAACATAGTCTGTCCATCAAACAACAAACAACATGCATGTTGTGTAAAATATGCACAGTAGTGTATTAACAAGCAGCTGTGGCACATGTTGTGATATAAATCTCCTTCAGGGTCACAGGGCTCTAAAGGTTATTCCAAAATACAGTCAATTTTAAGGCAAGCACAGACACACAGTCACAGAGTGTTGTACCAATAGTGAGTTAACAGTCTGCAATCTCCACCCATGGGACAAGTTGGTAACAGGCAAACACCACAAAGAAAAGACCAGGGCCTGAATAAAACTGCAACTGTTCTTTCTTTCTTCAAAGCCACCTCATAACTGACCAACAATACTCACCCTGGGAACAAAGAAGAGATCTGCACAAAACTTGTATAACCAGTCATCTAGGAAGTGGAAAAGAAGAGACTCCATGTCGTCACCTTTTGAGAAGAGAGGAAAAGTATGCATAAAGTTTAGCTTCAGTGATCTGGAGAAAGCATGACTGAAATGATTGGTCAGTGATAAACTGGCTTCACTCTCACCCTCTGATTCAACCTCAACAGTATCAAGTGGTTCTACTGTTTCCGTGTCCGTCATGTAGCCGAACATGCCCATGGCACACTGCTCGAACGCCTCCTCTAGAGAGTTTCCCCAGGAGTGGATTCTTGGAGGAAGAGAGCAGAAAATATGATCATAATGATTTATGAACAACAGAGTAGGACTGCAACGGTATGAGATTTTCACAGTGCAATAACTATCGCAGGAAAAAGTGTGGTTTCACAGTATCCCAATATTACAGAATTTATATTATTTTCAGTCAGAATTAAGTTGTTGAAGTTATTTGAACAAGCATTTATTGCTATAATTGAAATTAAATTGTTGCTATAATTACTGCTCAAATAAAGGGGGGATTCTCTGTCCAGTTGCTTTTGTATATCATATACAGTGGTGTGAAAAACTATTTGCCCCCTTCCTGATTTCTTACTTTTTTGCATGTTTTCCGCACTTAAATGTTTCAGATCAAACAAATTTAAACATTAGTCAAAGATAACACAAGTAAACACAAAATGCAGTTTTTAAATGAAGGGTTTTATTAATGAGGAAGAAAAAAATCCAAAGCTACATGGCCCTGTGTGAAAAAGTGTTTGCCCCCCAGCTCCTGTTAAAACATAACTGTGGTTGATCACACCTGAGTTCAATTTCTGTAGCAACACCCAGGCCTGATTACTGCACACCTGTTCCCAATCTAGAAATCACTTAAATAGGACCTACCTGACAAAGTGAAGTAGACCAAAAGATCCTCAAAAGCTACAGACATCATGCCGAGATCCAAAGAAATTCAGGAACAAATGAGAAAAAAAAAGTAATTGAAATCTATCAGTCTGGAAAAGGTTATAAAGCCATTTCTAAAGCTTTGAGCGAACCACAGTGAAAGCCATTATCCACAAATGGCGAAAACACGGAACAGTGGTGAACTTTCCCAGGAGTGGCTGGCCGACCAAAATTACCCCAAGAGCGCAGCGACGACTCATCCAAGAGGTGACAAAAGACCCCACAACAACATCTAAAGAACTGCAGGCATCACTTGCCTCAGTTAAGGTCAGTGTTCATGACTCCACCATAAGAAAGAGACTGGGCAAAAATGGCCTGCATGGCAGAGTTCCAAGACGAAAACCACTGCTAAGCAAAAAGAACATTAAGGCTCGTCTCATTTTTGCCAGAAAACATCTTGATGATCCCCAAGACTTTTGGGAAAATATTCTGTGGACTGACGAGACAAAAGTTGAACTTTTTGGAAGGTCTGTGTCCCAATACATCTGGCGTAAAATTAACACCACATTTCAGAAAAAGAACATCATACCAACAGTAATATATGGTGGTGGCAGTGTGATGGTCTGGGGCTGTTTTTCTGCTTCAGGACCTGGAAGACTTGCTGTGATAAATGGAAGCATGAATTCTGCTGTCTACCAAAAAATCCTTAAGGAGAATGTCCGGCCATCTGTTCGTGACCTCAAGCTGAAGCTAACTTGGGTTCTACAGCAGGACAATGATCCAAAACACACCAGCAAGTCCACCTCTGAATGGCTGAAGAAAAACAAAATGAAGACTTTGGAGTGGCCTACTCAAAGTCCTGACCTGAATCCTATTGAGATGCTGTGGCATGACCTTAAAAAGGTGGTTCATGCTCGAAAACCCTCCAATGTGGCTGAATTACAACAATTCTGCAAAGATGAGTGGGCCAAAATTCCTCCACAGCATTGTAAAAGACTCATTGCAAGTTATCGCAAATGCTTGATTGCAGTAGTTGCTGCTCAGGGTGGCCCAATCAGTTATTAGGTTTAGGGGGCGAACACTTTTTCACACAGGGCCATGTAGCTTTGGATTTTTTTCTTCCTCATTAATAAAACCCTTCATTTAAAAACTGCATTTTGTGTTTACTTGTGTTATCTTTGACTAATGTTTAAATTTGTTTGATGATCTGAAACATTTAGGTGTGGGAAAACATGCAAAAAAGTAAGAAATCAGGAAGGGGGCAAACACTTTTTCACACCACTGTACATGATATATCATGTATAACTTGTATATCACTGTATACCTTAAAACCGGTATATTGCTGCAACCCTATCACAAACATTTCACTAAGATATGAAAACACACTCACTGTACATCTGCTGTATGATCCAGATCTGTAATAGTGAAACACAAGGTGACAGGATGAGTCAGAGCATGCTATTAAGACAAACTTAGACTATATATGTAAAGTTAAACTCTGTGTGGCAAATGTCACTTAATTTAGACAAACAGTTTAATTGAATTAATCAAATTAGAGCATCAATATAACATTAGCTACAGTTAGTTAACTTTAGCTGAGTGTGTAAAGAGTTTCTTATAGCTTTCTATCATAGTAAACAAGCTATGCTAGCTACATTATTCATCATAACTTCGGACTTACACTCATATTTCTTGTTAATAGGCGGGTATTTTGACTTCGTAGCTTTCTGTGCCTCTGTCAGGTCGAGCTGACGATCGTCCATTGTTGCTGTAAGTTCGTTTAACGGTTTATAAAGTGATAGCGTCTATTCGTTACCATTCTAGTTTCTTACAACCGGTTGCAACATGTATCTAAAGGAGGGCGTTCCGGATGTAGTCATGCGTTGCAATGACGACTTCCTGTCAGTTTTTTGTTGAACGCTGATTGGCCCATCCTGTTCTACGGAGTTGGCGCCATTGCGAGCCTCCGTGCTGTCTACAGAGCTGTCTCTGAAGATTTTACACTCTTTGCCGGTTTAAGTGGTTTAACCACGACGCAATGGCGGACAAGGACGGTAATAGCGTTCACTTTTATGAAGTAGCTGGTTAAATATGTGTTTATGTTGTTCACAGTGATAGAAAGTAGCACTCACGATGTACCGGTGGTTGTTGGCGCGCCAGCCAGCATCACCTTTCATTGTTAAACACCAGCCAGCTAGCTGTTAGCTGTCGTTAGCTACTAGCAGGATGGCTATGCGGGGGTTTTAATTTACGAGTTAACTTACTTAAACACATGGAGGGACGTATTAGGCTCTCCCTCACGAGCTCAGTATAATTTTGTGGTTATTTAGTTGACTATAGCAACGTGTGCTAATGTTATCTCATCAGCAAAATAAACACTGGTGCTGGCAATTAACAAGGAAAGACTTTGCTGAGTAAGATAAAACTTTATGTCCATATCTATTTAATCCAGGCAAATTACTATGAGATGCTGTTATGGATCATATTGTTACTGTACATATCATCTGTTACTGTCAATATAACTCCTGCATGCTGTGTATATAGTATGGAAATATGTGCACAATACTGTATATAATCATCCAATCTAATTTTGTTCCATTTTTATTTTCACTGTTGATGATTTTTATACATATTATCTATATAAACACCCATTTTTTCACATACTTGTGTACATAATAGTCCTGTCTTTGTTTTACTTCTGTTTGTCCAGCTTTGTGTGTCTGTTTAAGTACTTTGAGAGTAAAAGTCTTTGTATGTGTGTGGATACTTGGCCAATAACTGTGATTCTGAGAACTTTATAACGTAACTTTGTGTCGCTGGTAAATTTGACTTCTGCAGCTGCATTTGATGATGCTGTGGAGGAGAGGGTGATCAACGAGGAGTACAAGATCTGGAAGAAGAACACCCCTTTTCTCTACGACCTGGTCATGACTCATGCCCTGGAGTGGCCCAGCCTCACTGCCCAGTGGCTGCCTGATGTCACCAGGTAAGAGGAGATTTGATTCACGTTGACATCCACCAAGACATGAGAGAGAGATTGGATTTTCTTAAACGAATGACTATATGATACATATTTTAATTCATCCCACTTGACAGGCCAGAGGGGAAGGACTACAGTGTGCACAGACTGGTTTTGGGAACACACACTTCTGATGAGCAGAATCACCTTGTTATTGCAAGTGTTCAGCTCCCTAATGATGATGCCCAGTTTGATGCATCACACTACGACAGCGAGAAAGGAGGTGAGAGGTGATGTGTGCATGGGAAGCTGTGTTGTTATAAAAATTAGAGTACACTGTATGTTGTGCCTAGCTGCTTATTGCACAAAATGAATTGATTGATGGATTAACTATGTTCTCAAATGTTAATGCCATATAATCGTGGCTTCAATTCCTTCACGGTGCCAAGTCACATAAACTAATTCACATTGCAAGCACTAGGCCCATGTAATATATCAGTATTAATATAATTCTCATCCATTGTCTCAAACAAGTTCCTGTGTTTGAATATTGTGGCAGTTCTTCTCAATGAATGAATACATTTATATCTTGCTGAAATCTTTAATGCTTCAGAAAATATAGGTACGTATCTTTGTTTTAGATTACATTTTATTTAATAAACTGCTATAAACCATACTTGTATGTAGTATACCATTAAAAGAACAAAATTTTTCTTCGACAAATACTCTTGTGCAGCAACCATCTTATGTAACTGTTATTTCAGAGTTTGGAGGCTTTGGATCTGTAAGTGGGAAGATCGAGATTGAGATCAAGATCAACCATGAGGGAGAGGTGAACAGAGCCCGCTACATGCCACAGAATCCTTGCATCATTGCCACCAAGACCCCCACTAGTGATGTACTGGTCTTTGATTACACAAAGCACCCTTCCAAACCTGGTAGGATTACAGCCACAACACATTTTCTGATGAGTTTTCAAGTGTTGTTTCAGTGCAATTTTTGAAACATTGTTTTTATTTCTATTAAAGATCCTTCGGGAGAATGCACCCCAGATCTGCGGTTGAGAGGCCACCAGAAGGAGGGTTATGGCCTCTCGTGGAACCCGAACCTCAGCGGCTGCCTCCTCAGTGCGTCTGATGACCATGTAAGCAACCTTTCACAATATACCTGAACTCTTCTGTCTATAGCCTCTCTTCCTATTTTACCGCATGTTAACTAGAACCTTGTGTTTCCTGTGGCTCATGTTGGATATTAAAGTAAGAATGAATTTGTTGCTTTTCTACTTAAAAGGACAGAAAGGATCTTTCAAATTGGGTTGTATGTGGCACCTACCCATGGTCAATGTATTACATACAGTTTCGATAAGCAGGCAGGAGTACAGATACAGAAGTTAATCAAAAAATTAAGTACCAGTTTAAGTGTTTATTATTGTTTATTTAGAATATCTTCACCACTTTACCTTGCTGCCAGACCTGGCAGAGACCTGGAGCTGAAGACGTTATGTTGCGTTCTTCAAAGCCAGACTCCATTTAGAAAAACAGTGATTTAACGTCACTGAACACCTGAGCTGCTGAGCTACCACTGCCTCAGTCAGTTAGTATGTTTGTGTTATTGTGTGACTTTGGTGAATCTGAACTAACCCTTTTAAACCACCTAAGTCACACAATAAAGCTAGATAACTAACTAATCGAGGCAGCAGTAGACCAGCAGCTCCCTGTGTTCAGCATGCTTAAATTACTGTTTTTCTCAATGGAGTCTGGTGGCATTGAAGAGCGCATAGATTGGAGACTGAGGCTGTGAACAGCTTCCCTGTCAGAACGGGATATCTTTGTCAAGGTAACATGGTGAAAATATTCTAAATATAGCATACACTTAATCATTTTCTTTTTAAAGTGGACCTTTTATAGGTGGCTAAAATACATTTTGCAGCTGCCCCTGTCCACACGAGTAAGCTACTTAGCTCCCATGGCAATGCTCCTGTCTGCTTCTCTAATCTTTAGGGGTGCCAGCCTACATCTTTTGCAGGTAATACACTGACTATGGATAAGTACTTCATGCAACCCTACTTAAAAAGATCCAAGCTATCTCTGTAACTAGTCTTTAATTTGTGTTGACCTATCTGTTGTTGTTATGGCAAAGCATTGTGTAACTTTTAATTGTTGTTAATACGTTTTCTACCACTACTCTGCTCTATGACAGACAATCTGCCTATGGGACATCAGCACAGTGCCCAAGGAGGGAAAGATAGTGGACGCCAAGACCATCTTCACAGGCCACACAGCAGTGGTGGAGGACGTTTCCTGGCACCTGCTCCACGAGTCGCTCTTTGGGTCTGTGGCGGACGACCAGAAACTCATGATGTGAGCACCTCTTACGTTGGCAACAAAATATGTTAACAATGTGATGACTCAGAACAATGAAAGATAAAGTTCTGTTTCATTTTTCTTTCTTAACAATGGTGCTTTTGTCTGTTTTGGCACAGCTGGGACACGCGCTCCAACAACACCTCCAAACCCAGCCATGCAGTAGATGCCCACACTGCTGAGGTCAACTGCTTGTCCTTCAATCCCTACAGCGAGTTCATCCTGGCCACTGGCTCTGCCGATAAGGTGGGTCCACTCTTTCTCTGTAGAGCTGTTACGAAGCATGTTGCCATCTGATGATGTAGAATCTGTTCTCATCTTTTACGAGGGGAATCATTTAAAGCTGAAGCTACTTTTTATTTTTAGACTGTGGCTCTTTGGGACCTGAGGAACTTGAAGCTGAAGCTGCACTCGTTTGAGTCTCACAAGGACGAGATCTTCCAGGTAAGAAGTTACACTCTGATCAGTTACATTCATCTGAAATACGTTGTTGCAGAGTTATTGTTTGGCTGATCTGGAGTTATGTTTTGTTTTAAATGTCGGCAAACAAAATCTGGCTACAGCTCCAGATGGAGTAGATTCATAAGAAGGAAAAGACGACTTGTTAAAATTTTTGTCTGAAGGAACACAGTAGCTCATTAATCATGTTGTGCAGTCAAGCACACATGCCACTGCTGCATGAACCTTACTCCAGCCTCTGTGACATCGAGCATGTTGGAGTTGTTATCCACCCGATCTGATTCCATGGAGTTGTTGTAAACACCCACAAACAAACCGGCCACAGTCAGCCAACTGTTAGACCCGTTTTATTCTTGTTGATTGTGCCTATTGTTTTTTCCTTTTTATTAGTGTAGTGGGACAAAGTACAAAATGATGACACATTAGACAGACATAGATGTAACAAAGTATACAAACAGTAATACCAGACATAAATGGAGATTATTATTTGAATATGGTACAGATTTGTAGTTGTTTTTGTCGGTGGGAGAATGGTTTGTGCATGTATGAAAGTGTCTTATATTCATATATGCCTAACTGAAACCAGAGGTATGTGCAAGGACGAGATCTTCCAGGTAAGAAGTTACACTCTGATCAGAATGTTCATAAAACATTCAGGACGCCACAATTTATTCCACACTACTGAAGCTACTCCTCTTTTTGGAACCGCTGCGGAGTCTGTAATAATTTTGCTTTCAGCCATGCTTGTTGTTTCCACGGGTAACAGTATGATTTCAACATGTCAACAAGTTCAAATATCACAAGTATCGCAATATGATTTTTTTATATGATATTAAAAATGATACTGGTATTATCATGAAAGAGGTGGTATGGCACTCCCCTACTTCCAACCACGTCAAAGCGATGAGTACTAGCCATTCACAGATCTCAGTGGGATCCATAATAATGCGTCATAGACATGGTTGTAAGTAGCTGCAGTGTGACTGTTGTCACCTGGGTGCAAATAGACACTCTGAAAAGAAAATACATTACATGTGTGTTCATATGTACAGTATACATATATCACTAATAAAATAGTAAAGGCAACTCTGGTTCAGTTCAACCAGGGAGAGGCAGCCAGGCTGGGTTTTGGTTTTAGTTTTTCATTGCAGAAATGTAGCATCTGGCCCATCTCTACCCGGCAGGTTCAGTGGTCTCCTCACAACGAAACCATCCTGGCCTCCAGCGGCACCGACAGGCGGCTCAACGTCTGGGACCTCAGTAAGATTGGAGAGGAACAGTCGCCAGAGGATGCTGAGGACGGCCCTCCTGAGCTGCTGGTCAGTTGTGACAAAAAAAACATCACTGTGTGTGTTTTAAATTGTATTTAAACTGCTGTACTGATCCCTCCTGCTCTGTCTCTCTTTAGTTCATCCATGGCGGACACACAGCAAAGATCTCCGACTTCTCGTGGAACCCTAACGAGCCATGGGTCATCTGCTCTGTATCAGAGGACAACATCATGCAAGTGTGGCAGATGGTAAGAGCTTTGTGTGTCACATGGGGGCGTCTGAGGTTCATGAAATTATGTGGGATTATAAGGAGCAACAAGTATCAGACGCAGTAAGGATATAACATTGAAGTGCATTTATTAACATTGAGCAGCAGTTACAGTGAATATGCTTCTGAATTGTTTCTTGTACAGGCTGAAAATATCTACAACGACGAGGACCCAGAAGGTGCAGCAGATTCAGAGGTCCAGGCATGAGTCCTGTCTCCACATCTCTTCATTCAACCTGCTCATTAAAAATGGATCCATTTTCCAGCGCTGGGTGCATACGCAGTAATCTCTTTTTAAAACACATTTTGGGCAGCAAAGTTTTTTGTAGAACATTTAAACAATAAAATGCTGTCATCACGTCCTAAGGTATTTAAAGTCTCTATTGGTGAGATCTCTTTAGATCTTTGTAGTTTCTCAAACTCCCAGTACTCAACTCTGGCTCGTGATGAAACCAACACAGATGTGTCCAGTTTTCAGGTTTGCTTTCTGATGGTTTTATTTCTTTCTTCCTGATTAGTTGTGCTGACAACATTTCTACAAAGATCCATTTTTAATAAGAATTGTACATATTGTAGGTTTTTCTGGTAAATTGCTTGATATTCATAGTATGAATTTTCCAGATTGTCTTTGTCTCTTTATGTGTTGTTTTTTTTTCTCTGCATTTTTTCTGTGTTCCATCTAATCTCTTGTGTACTTAAGTATATTCATAATAAAATATTTACAGTAAATCTGTTTGCTTTGTTTCTTGGCACAGCATGCCAGATGTTAAGTTGTAGTAAGAGTCAATTCTGCGGAAGCAAAAACAAATTATGCATTATTTGTTATCTTTTCTATATCCAATTTAAATGCTCTACTGTGGTTTGGTCTGTGTGTAGGTACTCAAAAATATCCACTGGAAACAAAATCAGGGATCCTCCTCTGCAGTGGCTTCACTAGGTTCATCTCGGCCTCTATGAAACAACACACTTGTTAGTCCTGATGTCACAGTTCAAATTAAAGTAAAGAGTAAAAAGCTTGGCGTAAACCCACCTCAGAAATGTCAGCTCTTTTAAAAGGCCATTATTATAATCCTCCAGAGCTGTCTTAGATTTTCTTTGAACTTCAAACTCCACTTCTAGTTCTCTCAGGGTTTCTCTTAATCTCTCCACAGTCTCCTGCAAACAGAGAAACATCTCGGTTGGTCTCGTTTTACCAAACATCCTTTCTTGACCTCCTACTTGACTTCGGTCACTGTACCTTGTGTTGTGTGACGCTCTCCTCCCTCCCCCTCTCCATCAGAGAGATCCTCTGCTCCAGACACGCTCTCTGCACCTCAAGTCTCTGTATATCCTCCTTCAGGGGCCCCAGCTTGGTCCTCAGATCCGTAGCCTGCTCCCTGCTCTTCCTCAAGGCGTCCTCCCCGACTTGCCTCCTCCTCAGCAGGGCCATGAGCCGAGGCTCGTACCAGCCCTCCAGTGCCCTCACGCTGCCGCTGAGCCGCCGCTGCAGCCTGACCGAAGCCTGCCGGCACTGGCTGACGTCGCTCATGGCCCTGGGCCTGCGCGCCTTAGAGGCCTGGTCCCTCAGGGTGTTGAGCTGGTTCTGCTGGGCCTCCTGGAGCTGGGACAACTCCTGGGTGAGGCTTTCAATGTGGGCCTTGAGCTCCTCCTATGGATGGATGAGAATACACAACACTGGCATAACTGAGCAAAGCAGTAAACCAAGGTGTGCAGAAAAATACAAATTGTAGAGGACATTTGTTAAAGATTTCACATAAATCAGCAGGTGATTAAACAATTAGGCAAGAAAAACATACATATAAATCTACATCCTACGTATTAATTGTATACAAGTTATTTCAAGTAACCAACATGTCTTGCTGTTCATACATTTTTATACATGTTAAATTGTTTTAAAACATTTTTAAACTTACAAAGTTCATGATTTTAGTTCCTCACTACAGCTGTTGTATAAATTAGTCAAAAAAATGCATTTATTTTTTGTGCATCAAGTTTAGAATAATTTATTCTCGTATGCACAACAATTACAGAGAAGCAGTTATTAATTTAGTTTAATTTAATTTAATTTAATTTAATTTAACTCTTAGATCTCAGGGTCCCTCCAAAAATGCTCTTACAGTATGTAGGAAAAGAAAATCAAGCAGTCATTCCTGATTCTTTCTTTCTTAAACATGCACATACTGCTCTAAAGCCATATCGACTTTATCTCATTTTAAAAAAACATTTGGATACCAACACATGGTCATTTATTTTTAACTCCATATATGAATTTTACTGTTTTAAGAGCTGCCAACTTTTGAAATTTTAGAGCCTTTAATTTAATCAAAAGAGGTTTTTTTTTGGTTCCTGATAGTATAAGATACTCGTGGGTCTCTATTGAAGTATGAAAATATATTTCTGATTCCTCCGCACCTCTACACAATCTGTAAGGTATGAGACTATTATAAGTGAACAATATAAGATGCATAATTATAACATTTTAAACAGTATTTCTATAGAGATAATGTTGGTTTAACATGATTTATATTTGGTTTCCAGCATAATGTGTTGTATGTTATCACTCCCAAAAAGTTTACTTTGTAGATTTCATTAAATAATAATTAGTTTTCTGCTACATACCTTAAATTCAGTACTGACCCCTTAAGTTTGTTGCAAATATTAACTCATTTTTTAAAATGTTGGTTATAGTATCTGCTGCAAAACTTATTTTTCACTTGAGACAAGTTAAGAAAAAGGTTAAATTTACAGTAGATTATCAAGGTGGAATATTTCTTAAACTCCATATAAACAAGCCACTACTATCTGCTATGACTAGCCACAGTCAATCAGTCCTCCGGGAGTGATCAACCCTGTGGTTCCTACCTGTGTGACAGCAGACTGAGCCACCTCGTGCTCCTGTTCAGCCAGCGTCACCTGGCTCTGGATGCAGTCTCTGGCTGTGGCAAACAGTTTCCTCTTCACCTCCTTCACTTCCTCATAAACAGCAACATAATCCAGCTGAGCCAGCGTGAGAAGCCTCCGTGTCTCCTGCAGCTTCCCTCTCAGGTGCCCGATAACCCTCAGAATGGGTTCCTGGAGACCGAGGAGCTCTTCTATGAGCTCGTCCCTCTGTGTCTCCAGGTGGGACACTTGCTGGATGCAGTGGTCAAAAAGTCGCCCCAAGTTGTTCATGACTGCCTGGTCCATTTGTGGTGTACGCTCATCCAGGGGAATGATGATCTCTGTGTCAGAGTCAGTATGGTTGTTGTGTGTTACATCTTCAGCAAGTTCAATGTGTGAGTCCTCAGATGCCATGTTTGTACCATCCTCTGCTGTTTGCTTGTCCATGGCCTTCTAAGAGGCTAGGAGAAAGGAGAAGGAGAAGGAGAGAATGACCGTTAATCAAGTGACCTCCCTTTAATCTGCTCATTCTTTTAAGGCTGTTTTGCATCACAAAGCAAGTTAAAGTCAATTTAATCATGTTGAAACTCCAAAGATCACACACACTAGAAGACCTTAAAAACCTCCACTGTCAGAATCTGTATCTGATGAGCAACACTTCATATTAACTTACATTTCTACTTACTTTGTTCGGAGATGACAGTCCTGACAGCTACGAGCACAGCTTGCTTTAAACTTTAAGGACAGCTCTTCAGTGTGTCTGTCTCTAGCAAAACAGAGGCACACTTTGTGTTTATTAATAACACCGGAGGCACGGGGGAAACTCTATCTAAGACTCTCTCATACCCCCCCAGGGGATCACAAACTGTGTCAGTGCTGAGGGCAGACTGGCCTACATGCTCTGGATGCACCAGCTAACACATGTCTGGTCCAGCCTGGGTGGCACAGAGAGCTATTTATATACAGATGTTTCTATGTGTGTGTATAAGAAAGGGGTGACATCATGACTGAAAAGTGTTTTGAGCAGTAACCTTCCTCAACTTTCTGCCTTTTGGGCCTCAGATGACTGCTCAGGGCGAGGAGGTGGTAACACTAGCCGCTCTATTCTTTTAATAGCTTCCTCCAGTACTGAGCTCAGCTGCGGATAAAGTTTGCATGGCTCATATACAGTATTTGTTTGTAGTGTTTTGCATGCTGCCCATCAAATACATCACGTACAAAAGGAAACAAACACACATCGCCACACACAAGGATACGAAAGGAGGAATCTCATGAAGCAGGCAATTTGTGTCATATTTTGTATCATATAATGTGCCATATTCCACATGGAAAAGAAACCCCATTAAAATAAAGATAAAGAACCCCCTGTCGGTTTATCCAAAGTGCCTTTATGATAACATGACTGCATCATCTGTGTCCATGGCAACATCGCGTCAATGTAAAGGTGGACACCACTACTGGAGGTCATGGAGGACCACTGGGACTGATAATTGAAGGATTACATACTTGGAGAGAAACTGAAGTGTAGGTGACACCCTGAAATAGTTTAATATGACTTCTCTTGAGGTGACGCAAAAAAAAAGTATTTTATTTTTCAATTTCTGATAAGTTTCTATTTTCCTGTGTATATTGAACTGAATATGTATGTCTACGTACGGTGAACTTTCATATAACCCATGTCTTTTTTTTCTTTTTTTTTCATAAATAACAAATAAATAGATATTGACTTACAAAGGTGTTGAATCAAGACATACATGTAGAGACAGTGGGCGGCCACTAATCACACCACAATATGTTTCTAGTACTTGTTCAGACAAAGTCAGGCCTAATGTTTGAGACATATATGAGCTACTTCATGCAGTTCTCAATAAAAAAATCCTTCTGGGTTCTCAAATTAAAAGTCTCCATTACATAACTATTATATACACTAGGTATTTCTTTTTCCTCCATTCTAGTTCCTCCAATCTGATCAGCTACATTGTTCAATTTTATTTTGATACGTTTATGTTATTTCCTGGTCATGTTCAGTGTTTTAATTGTTATTATTTTAATTTGTTTTGATTTATTAAGCCTCTGCCCTGGTGATAGCCATGACTAAAGGTATTATGTTTTCATGTTGTCTGTCTGTGCATCCCATTCTTTTGAATGCAATATCTCAAGAGTGCCTTGGGGGAATTTCTTCAAATTTGTCACAAACGTCCAATTGGACCTGAGGATAAACTGATTACATTTTGATGGTCAGAGCTCAAAGGTCAAGATCACTGTGACCTTGTTTGCCCCATGCCCATGAACATGACATCTTAAGAACTCCTTGAGGGAATTTCTTCAAATTTGGCACAAACGTCCACTTAAACTCAGGGATGAACTATTAGATTTTGGTGGTCAGAGGTCAAAGGTCAATGTGACCTCACAAAATATGTTTGTCAAGATTTTTTTTTTTTTTTTTTTGACAAAATTTCACACAAATATCTAACAGGGTAAAAATGAAGTGATGACATTTTATACCCAAAAGGTCAGAGGTTAACTTCACTGTGACACCATAATGTTCTGCAAAACCACTTTTCTGTCCATTATTGAACATTATCACACAGGAACAGAAGGGAGAAATACTGAACCATACTGGTGACTCTAAACTTGGTTTGGGTATCCACCTTAAAACTGTAAAAATCTTCTGTGCTGCAGGGTTGAAGATGTGTGTGACGCATCAACATTTTAGAATGTGCAGCTTCTTTGCAGCATCATCCATATTTGAAGCATTGTCAGATGTCATGGCTACGAGTCTGGACAGACACATAAAATATAAACTGTAACTGCAA